AGTGGCCGGATCTCAGCTCACTGCAAGCTCCGCCTCCCGGATTTAGGCCATTCTCCTGCCTCAGCCTCCCGAGTAGCTGGGACTACAGGCGCCCGCCACCTCGCCCGGCTAGTTTTTTGTATTTTTTAGTAGAGACGGGGTTTCACCGTGTTAGCCAGGATGGTCTCGATCTCCTGACCTCGTGATCCGCCCGTCTCGGCCTCCCAAAGTGCTGGGATTACAGGCTTGAGCCACCGCGCCCGGCCCGACATTATTATTGTCTTTATTTGAAGATTATGTATAATCTCAGAAGATGTGTATGGGTTAAAGTTGACAAGGGCTGAACTTGTGATGGTTAATACTGTCAACTTGATTGAAGTATGCAAAGTATTGTTCCTGGGTGTGTGTGTGAGGCTGTTGCCAGAGGAGATTAACCTTTGAGTCACGGGGCTGGAAAAGGCAGACCCACCCTTAAACTAGGTGGGCACAATCTAATCAGCTGCCAGTATGGCAAAAATAAAAATGAGGCAGAGGAACATAAAGCGGTTAGACTGGCTTAGCCTCCGAGCCTACATCTTTCTCCCATGCTTGACGGTTCCTGCCCTAGAACATCAGACTCCAAGTTCTTCAGCTTTGGGACTCAGAATGGCTTCCTTGCTCCTCAGCTTGCAGACAGCCTATTGTGGAACCTTGTGATCCTGTGCGTTAATACTCCTTGAGAAACTCCCTAGTATATATACATCCATCCTAATAGTTCTGCTCCTTTAGAGAACTGTCACTAATACAAGGGGTGACAATAGAGGAAATTACATGTTAGACTTTTATACTTTACCTCAATTTTCATTACTTTTTGCAGAAAAAAGATTTCACATAAAAATCACATAATAATAATTTATTCCAATTTATTAAGGCAGGAGCTGGACCTAAAGAGGGCGCTGAGAGGCTGGAGATGGGCTTGGGAGAGGTCAACTGAAGGAAAATTTGGGCCTAAGGAGACTGCAGGAGGCAAGAGCTGGGCAAAAACAGGTTGTTGTGAGGCAGGAGTTGGGTCTTTATAAAAGGGCCAATGTAAGGCAGAAGCAGGGCCTGCAGAGTCCACTAGCAGGCAGGACCAGGGCATGGAGAGGCTGACATGAGGCAGAAAGTTGCCCTCGGGAGGCCGCCATGAGGCAGGAGTTGGTTCTTGAAAGGAGGCAAGAGCTGGGCCTGTAGTGGTTGCTAAAAGGCAGGAACTTGGTCTGGAAGGCCGTGGTAAGGCAAGAGCTGGGCCAAAAGAGGCCACTGGGAAGCAGGAGCTGGGCCTCAGGGGGCCACCGTAAAACAGGAGCTGGGACTTGGAAGGCAGACGTGAAGCAAAAGCTGGCTCTTGGAAGGCTGACGAGAGGCAGAAGCTGGGCCTGGTGAGGTCGACTTGAGAAAGTCTGGGGCCTGGAGAGATCCCTGGGAGGCAGGAGCTAAACTTGTAGAGGCTGCCGGAAGGCAGGAGCTGGGCCTGGTGAGGTCAACATGAAGAAGTTCTAGGCCTGGAAAGGCCACTGGGAGAAAGGAGCTGGGGGTAAAGAGGCTATTGTAAGGCTTGAGCTAGGCCTACAGAGGCTGCCAGGAGGCAAGAGCTGGGCCTGGAGATGCCAAATTGAGGAAGTTTTAGGCCTGCAGAGGCTGTAAAGAGAAAGGAGCTAAGCCTGGAGAGACTGGTGAAAGGCAGGAGGTAGCGCTAAAGAGGCCATTGGCAGGCAAAAGCTGGGCCTCTGAAGGCTGCAAGGAGGCAGGACCTGGGCCTGGTGAGGTTGACTTAAGGACGTTTTGGTCCTGGAGAGGCCAATGGGAGGAAGGAGCTGGGCCTAAAGAGGCCATTGAAAGGATGAAGCCAGGCCTGTAGAGGCCACCAGAAGGCAGGAGCTGGGCCTGAGAAGAACAAATTAAGAAACTTTTAGGCCTGTAAGGGCCCCAAAGAGGCAGGAGCTAGGCATGCAGGGAGAGGCAGCTGTGAGGCAGAAGCTGGGCCACTAGAGGTTGCCAAGAGCAGGAGCATGGCTTGAAGAGGTCCCAGTAAGGATGAGCTGAGTCTAAAGTGGTCACTGTTAGGAAGAAGCTGAGATCCTAGAGGACACTCAGAGGCACAAGCTGGGCCTGGAGAGCTTGACTGGAAAAAACTATGGGCTTAAAAAGGGCACCAAGGAAGAAGCTGGGCCTGGAGTGGCCAGAGGAAGACAGAAGGTGGGACATGGGAGGCCGCCGTTAAACAGGAGCTGGAAGGCGGCCGTGAGGCAAAAGCGGAGCCATTAAAGGCCTACCAGACACAGGAGCTAGGCCTGGTGAGACTGACATGAGAAAGTTCTTGGTCTGGAGAGACAACTGAAAGGCAAGAGCAGGGCCTAAATAGTACATTGGAAAAATGGAGTTGGGCCTCTAGAAACTGATGAAAAGCATGAACAGGGCTTGGAGACGCTGTAAAGAGGAAGGCACAAAAATGGCCTGGGAAGGCCAATGTGAGGCAAGAGTTGGGCCTGGGGGGTCCACTGGGAGAAGGCAGAGGCCATGCCTCCAGGGACCTACGACAGGCAGGAGCTGGGCCTGGCGAGGCCGACTTCAGGATGCTTTGGGCTTGCACAGGCCATTGGCAGGAGGCAGGAGCTGGGCCTGGAGGGGCTGACTTGAGAAAGCCTTGGGCTGGGAGACGCTGTCGGGATGGGCGGGAGCTGGGCCTGGAGAGGCCAGTGTGAGGCAGGATCCGAGCTTGTTGAGGCTGCCAGGAGGCCGGCAGGAACGTGGCTGGGGAAGGCCGCCGTGAGGCAAGAGCTGGGCCTGGGAAGGCTGCTGTGAGGCAAGATCTGGGCCTGGAGGAGGTTTTGGGCCTACGAAGGCTGCCAGGAGCTGGACAGGAGCCAAGTCAAAAGAGGCTGTTTGGAGACAGGGACTGGGCCTGCGAGGGAGAGCTGGGCCTGGAGAGGAGGCTGAGAGGCAGCCACTGGGCCGCGGGAAGCCAAGTTGGGCCTGCAGAGGCCGCCACAGGGAAAAAGCTAGGCCTAAAGAGACCGTTGCGAGGGACAAGCTGGGCCTTAAGAGGACATTGGGACACAGGAGCCGAGCCTGTGGAGGCCACTGAAGGGCAGGAGCCTGGCCTGCAGAAGGCCACGGTGAGGCACAAGATGAGCCTAAAGAGGCTATCAGGAGGAAGGAGTTGGGTTTGTCAAGGCTGCCGCCAGGCAGGCGGAAACAAGGCCAGGGGAGGCTGACACGAGGCAAGAGCTTGGCCTGGAGAGGCCGTTGTCAGGCAAGAGCTGGGCCTCTCCAGGCCACTGGGGAGCTGAAGATGGGGCCTGGAAGGCCTGACTTAGAGGAGCCTGGGGCCTACAAAGGTTGCCAGGAGCTGGGCAGGAGCTGGGCCAAATGTGGTTGTTGTGAGGCAGGAGCTGGGCCGGCAGACGCAGCTGGGAGGGAGAGCTGGGCCCGGAGGCTGGCTGAAAACAGTTCTGGGCCTGGACGGGATGCCGAGAGGCAAGAGCTGGGCCCGTGGAGGCTGCCAAGAGGCAGGAGCTTGGCCTGAGGTGGTCACGCTGAGGCAAGAGCTGAGCCTGGGGGGCGTCCACTGGGAGAAGGCAGAGGCCATGCCTCCAGGAGCCAACAACAGGCAGGAGTTGGGCCTGGCGAGACCGACTTCAGGACACTTTGGGCCTGCACAGGCCATCAGTAGGAGGCAGGAGCTGGGCCTGCAGGTGCTGACTTGAGAAAGTCTTGGGCCAGGAGACGCCATCGGGGTGGGCTCGAGCTGGGCCTGGAGAAGTCACCGTGAGGCATGAGCTGGGCCTAGAGAGGCCAGTGTGAGGCAGGAGCCGGGCTTGTTGAGGTTGCTGGGAGGCCGGCAGGAACATGGCTGGGGAAGGCCGCTGTGAGGCAAGATCTAGGCCTGGGAAGGCCACTGCAAGGCAAGAGCTGGGCCTGGAGATCTGGACCGGAGAAGGTTTCAGGCCTACCAAGGCTGCCAGGAGCTGGGCAGGAGCCGAGTCAAAAGAGGCTGTTTGGAGACAGAGGCTGGGCCTGTAGGCGCAACCACGAGAGAGAGCTGGGCCTGGAGAGGAGGCTGGGAGGCAGCCACCGGGCCACGGGAGGCCGACTTGGGCCTGGAGAGGCCACCACAGGGGAAAAGTTGGGCCTAAAGAGACTGTTGTGAGGGACAAGCTGGGCCTTAAGAGGCCATCAGGACACAGGAGCCGGGCCTGCAGAGGCCGCCAAAGGGGAGGAGCCTGGCCTGCAGGAGCCCGCGGTGAGGCACGAGATGAACCTAAAGAGGCCATCGGGAGGCAGGAGCTGGGTTTGTCGAGGCTGCCGCCAGGCAGGGGGAAACATGGCCTGGGGAGGCCGATGCAAGGCAAGAGCTGGGCCTGGAGAAGCCATTGTCAGGTAGGAGCTGGGCCTCTCTAGGCCGCCAGGGAGCCAAAGGTGGGGCCTGGAAGGCCTGACTTAGAGGAGCCTGGGGCCTACAAAGACTGCCAGGAGCTGGGCAGGAGCTGGGCTGAGCGTGGTTGTCGTGAGGCAGGAGCTGGGCCAGCAGACGCAGCCGGGAGGGAGAGCTGGGCTGGGAGAGGCTGGCTAGAAACCGTTCTGGGCCTGGAGAGGATGCCGAGAGGCAAGAGCTGGGCCCATGGAGGCTGCCAAGAGGCAGTTGCTTGGCCTGAGGTGGCCACGCTAAGGCGAGAGCTGGGGCTGGTGGGTCCACTGGGAGGAGTCAAAGGCTGTGCCTCCAGGGGCCAACGACAGGCAAGAGCTGGGCCTTGTGGGGCTGGTTTGAGAAAGCCTTGGGCCAGGAGACGCCATCGGGGTGGGCGGAAGCTGGGCCTGGAGAGGCCAGTGTGAGGCAGGAGCCGGGCTTGTTGAGGCTACCGGGAGGCCAGCAGGAACGTGGCCGGGGAAGGCCACCATGAGGCAAGAGCTGGGCCTGGGGGTGGTCCACTGGGAGGAGGCAGAGGCCGTGGCTCCAGGGGCCTGCTACGACAGGCAGGAGCTGCGCCTGGCAAGGCTGACTTCAGGACACTTTGGGCCTGTACAGGCCATTGGCAGGAGGCAGGAGCTGGGCCTGGAGGGTCCAACTTGAGAAAGCGTTGGGCTGGGAGATGCCGTCAGGGTGGGCGGGAGCTGGGCCTGAGAGGCCGCCGTGAAGCATGAGCTGGGCCTAGAGAGGCCAGTGTGAGGCAGGAGAAGGGCTTGTTGAGGCTGCTGGGAGGCCAGCAGGAACGTGGCCAAAGAAAGCCACCGTGAGGCAAGATCTGGGCCTGGGAAGGCTGCTGCAAGGCAAGCGCTGGGCCTGGAGATCTGCACCAGAGGAGGTTTCGGGCCTACGAAGGCTGCCAGGAGCTGGGCAGGAGCTAAATCAAAAGAGGCTGGAGACAGAGGCTGGGCCTGTAGGCGCAGCCACAAGAGAGAGCTGGGCCTGGAGAGGAGGCCGGGAGGCAGCCACTGGGCCGCGGGAGGCCGATTTGGGCCTGGAGAGGCTGCTACAGGGGAAAAGCTGGGCCTAAAGAGGCCATCGGGATACAGGACCCAGGCTTGCAGAGGCCGCTGAAGAGCAGGAGCCTGGCCTGCAGGAGGCCACGGTGAGGCATGAGATGAGCCTAAAGAGGCCATCGGGAGGCAGGAGCTGGGTGTGTCGAGGCTGCCACCAGGCAGGCAGAAACATGGCCAGGGGAGGGTGACACAAAGCAAGAGCTTGGTCTGGAGAGGCCATTGTCAGGCAGGAGCTGGGCCTCTCCAGGCTGCCGGGGAGCCGAAGGTGGGGCCTGGAAGGCCTGACTTAGAGGAACCTGGGGCCTACAAAGGCTGCCAGAAGCTGGGAAGTAGCTGGGCCGAACGTGGTTGTTGTGAGGCAGGAGCTGGGCCGGCAGAACGCAGCCAGGAGGGAGAGCTGGGCTCGGAGAGGCCGGCTGAAAACAGTTCTGGGCCTGGAGGGGGTGCCAAGAGGCAAGAGCTGGGCCCGTGGAGGCTGCCAACAGGCAGGAGCTTGGCCTGAGGTGGCCATGCTGAGGCAAGAACTGGGCCTGGGGGGTCCACTGGGAGGAGGCAGAGGCCGTGCCTCCAGGGGCCGACGACAGGCAGGAGCTGGGACTGGCGAGGCCAACTTCAGGATGCTTTGGGCCTGCACAGGCCATCGGCGGGAGGCAGGAGCTGGGCCTGGAGGGGCCGACTTAAGAAAGCCTTGGTCAAGGAGACGCCGTCGGGGTGGGCAGGAGCTGGGTCTGGAGAGGCCACTGTGAGGTAGAAGCCAGGCCTAGAGAGGCCAGTGTGAGGCAGGAGTGGGCTTGTTGAGGCTGCCGGGAGCCTGGCAAGAACGTGGCTGGGGAAGGCGGCCGTGAGGCAAGATCTGGGCCTGGGAAGGCCGCTGCGAGGCAAGAGCTAGGCCTGGAGATCTAGACAGGAGGAGGTTTCGGGCCTACCAAGGCTGCCAGGAGCTGGGCAGGACCCGAGTCAAAAGAGGCTGTTTGGAGGCAGGAGCTGGGCCTGTAGGCGCAACCACGAGAGAGAGCTGGGCCTGGAGAGGAGGCCGGGAGGCTGTAGCTGGGCCGCGGGAGGCCGACTGGGCCTGAAGAGGCCACCAAAAGGGAAAAGCTGGGCCTAAAGAGGCCATTGTGAGAAATGAGCTGGGACTAAAGAGGCCATCAGGACGCAGAGCTGGGTCTCTGCTGCAGAGGTTGGCGAAAAGCAGGAGCCTGGCTTGATGAGGTCGCGGTGAGGCATGAGATAAGCCTAAAGAGGTCACTGAAAGGTTGGACCTGGACCTGTCAGGACATGGCGCTCAGGTGGTTATGTGAGCCATGGGGAGGGGCTGTAAACACAAATGAAGTTTCCCCTCACTTTTCCGCTGCTCCTCTCCAGCTCTGTGGCCCTGTGGTGGAGACCCCTGCTCAGGTGCATTCGAAAGGATCTGTTCCATGCCATTCTTCAGAGTCATCTTACTGCTGCAGTGGTGAAGCATAGCATCCATTAGCTTGCATGGCACATGCCTCGGCTGGCATTTCATCACAATCAACACGTGGTAGCTTGAGTCACTGTGAGGTTACTTCCTGGAAATCACCAGCATCCCATGTCCCATTGGCAAGAAGCTCAGCACTGCTCCTTGGATAACCAAACCTATGCTCAAATCCCATCTCTGTGGGTCTATTTCCTGGTACCCTTCCTAGCATCAATTGTGTATTTCTAGGAGCCCAATCAGAAAATATAAAACCACTCAAAAGTTTAAACTGAATGGGTACGGTGGCTCACACCTGTAATCCCAGCACTTTGGGAGGCCGAGGCGAGTGGATTGCTTTGAGCTCAGGAGTTGAGACCAGCCTGGGATACATGGCGAAACCCTGTCTCTACAAAAAGCACAAAAATTAGCCAGGCGTGGTGGCACATACCTGTAATCCGAGATACTTGGGAGGCTGAGGACAGAGAATTGCTTGAGCCTTGGAAGTGGAGGTCGCAGTGAGCAGAGATTGTGCCTCTGCACTCCAGCCTCAGTGACAGACTGAGACCCAGTACCAAAAAAAAATAAATAAATAAATAAATTTAAAATAAAAAGTATTAATTATAACACAGGATCAGCATAATGAGTGACACACTAGCACAAACTACAGACAACTCTGGAGAATACAAAACTAGCAGAGGGCAGGCATGGTGGCTCATGCCTGTAATCCCAGTAATTTGGGAAGCCTAGGTAGGAGGACTGCTTGAGGCCAGGAGTTGGAGACCAGGCTGGGCAACTTAGTGAGACCCTGTGTCTACCAAAAAAAAAAATTAGCCAGCTGTGGTGGTGGTGCACACCTGTAGTTCCAGCTACCTGGGAGTCTAGGGTGGGAGGATCCCTTGAACCTGGGAAGTCTAGGCTGCAGTGAACCAAAATCATGCCACTACACACTAGCCTGGGTGACAGAGTGAAAACCTGTCTTATGGGAGGGGAGGGGAGGGGAGGGGAGAATGCTAATCCCTCTATGAGAATCTCCTCTTCTCCTGCCCTCTCTGGAACCTCACTTGTCAGTTCTTCCTCCCACCTCCCTGTATCTTTAACCTATCCCCCGCTTTTAGCTGCTTCCTACCAGCATTTAAATTACTCAAACTTCCTCTATTTTAAAAAACTCTCCCTAAACTCAGTGTGTCCCCTGCTTTAGGTCTCCAGCACACCCACTGAGCCATCTGCTCCCCCTGGTGCCTTCTCCATACAGCAGCCTGGGCCATGTCTCTAATACATGAATCTCATCACGTTACTCCCCTGTGTACATTACTCTTTGGGATTAAGTCCAAACTCCTTAACAGCCCCTGCTCTGCCCTGCCTTGCAAGGCAGCCTCACTGCCTACCCCTCTCCATTTTACCTGCTATGGAGTCCAGCTGAGCCTCATCTGCCCCCTGAATGCCCACTCTCTCCCCTCTGGCAGCCTCTGAAGTGGGTGATGCCCTCTGCTTAGAATACGCTTCCCCTTAAACCTCTATTCTCTTCCTGGCTAGCTTGGCTCCTCTGTCACTTGTCCATTTTAGCACCACCTCCTCCTGGAAGCCTTCCTTGACTCCCCTGATTCTCAGGAGCACGGGAAGCGAGGTGCTCCTCCCAAAAATGAATGGAGATTAGGGAGTGTGTGTTATTCATGTTTAATTCACCAGTGCTTAGTTCAGTACCTGGCACAAAATAGTCACTCTGGTGGCCAAAGTAATGACCCACGCCCCCAACAACTGCTCATGTCCTATGTTATACTGCATAATTACATAGGAAGGGGGAATTAAGAGTGCAGATGAAATTAATGTTGCTAATCAGCCAACCTTAAAACAAGATTATCCGGCAGTATCTGGGTGAGCCCATGTAATTACAAGGGTTCTTTATTTTTTTTATTTTTATTTATTTATTTTTTTTTGAGACGGAGTCTCGCTCTGTCGCCCAGGCTGGAGTGCAGTGGCTGGATCTCAGCTCACTGCAAGCTCCGCCTCCCGGGTTCACGCCATTCTCCTGCCTCAGCCTCCCCAGTAGCTGGGACTACAGGTGCCCGCCACCTCGCCCGGCTAGTTTTTTTTGTACTTTTTAGTAGAGACGGGGTTTCATCGTGTTCGCCAGGATGGTCTCGATCTCCTGACCTCGTGATCCGCCCGTCTCGGCCTCCCAAAGTGCTGGGATTACAGGCTTGAGCCACCGCGCCCGGCTACAAGGGTTCTTTAAATGTGGAAGAGGGAAGCAGAAGGTTAAGAACCAGAGACGGTGGGCACAATGGCTCATGCCTGTATTACCAATACTTTGGGAGGCCAAGGCAGGAAAATCCCTCGAGTGCAGGAGTTCAAGGCTGGCCTTGGTAACATAGCAAGGCCCCATCTCTACAAAAAAAAAAAAAAATTAAAATTCACCGAGTGTCATGGTGCTAACCTGTAATCCCAGCTACTGGGAAGGATGAGGTGGGAGGATGTTCCCACTTAAGCCTGAGAGTTTGAGGCTACAATGGGCCACGATTGGACCACTGAACTCCATCCTGGGTGACAGAGCCAGGTCCTGCTTCTAAAGAAAAAAACAAAAGGACATTGGAATCAGGGTCCCCTCCACCCTAAGATGCCTACAAGACATCTCTCTCTGCAAACAAGTAAACATCATCCTCCAACTCCTCACAGAGTGGAGCAGCAGGGAAACTCCCTCACCTCATTTCTGTGTGGCTTGAGAGGCCTGGACAGCTCAATAACCAGCTCCTTGCTGATGAACCAATCAGGAAATGGCTCTAGTTGAGCTAAGGAGAATTAGGTTCCTTCTTTTGGTTCTCAATAGGCAGGGTAGGGGCCACAGGCATGGTAACTCATACCTGTAATCCTTGCACTTCGGGAGGCCAAAGTGAGAGGATTGCTTGAGGCCAGGAGCTCAAAACCAGCCTGGACAACACAGCAGGACCCAGGTGGCACACACCTGTGGTCCCTACTACTTGGTAGGATGAGGTGGGAGGACTGATCACTTGATCCCAGGAGTTTCAGTCTGCAGTGAGCCATGATCATACGAGGCACTCCAGCCTGGCTGACAGAGCCAGACCGTGTCTCAAAACGTAAAAGAGACTATAGGCAGGCAACAACACATCTGGTTAATTTTTAAATATTCTGTAGAGATGAGGTCTTGCTAGGTTGGTCTAAAACTCCTGGCAACAGGCCGGACATAGTGGCTCATGCCTCTAATCCCAGCACTTTGGGCAGCTGAGGCGGTGGGGGGGGATCACCTGAAGTCAGAAGTTTGAGACCAGCCTGACCAACAAGGCAATACTCCCTCTCTACTAAAAATACAAAAATTAGTTGGGCAGTAGTGGCGTGTACCTGTAATCCCAGCTACTCAAGAGGCTGAGGCAGGAGAATCGCTTGAACCTGGGAGGTGAAGGCTGCAGTCTGCTGAGATTGCACCACTGCACTCCACCCTGGGCAACACAGTGAGATTCTGTTTCAAAAACAAACAAACAAACAAAACCTCCTGGCATCAAGAGATCTTCCTGTCTCAGCATCCAAATGCCCTGGGATTATATTTTTTGTTTACTATTATTGAAGACACTTGTTCTTATACTGCTTTAAGGTATAAAAGGAAAAAAATGCAGATAATAACAAATGTTGGTGAAGACCAGGAACAGTGGCTCAGCCTGTAATTCCAGAAGTTTGGGAGGCTGAGGTGGGCAGATCACTTGAGGCCAGGAGTAAGAGACCAGCCTGGGCAACATGGTAAAACCCCATCACTTCAAAAAAATATAAAAATTAGCCAGGCATGATGGCATGTACCTATAATTCCCAGCTACTCAGGAGGCTGGGATGAGAGGATCATTTGTGCCTGGGAGGTCAAGGCTTCAGTGAACTGTGATGGCATCACTGTGCTGCAGCCTGAGAGAGCAAGCCCCTGTCTGGAAAAAAAATAATGTCAGTGAAGATGTGGAGGAATTGGAACCCACATACATTACTGGTGGGAACATAAAATCGTGTAACCACTTTGTTTGGGTATTTCTTTTCTTGTCTATTTTAATTGGATTTTTTTTTTTTTTAATCAAGATAGGGTCTCACTGTCTTGCCGAGGCTGGTCTTGAACTTGTGGACTCAAGCCATAGTCTCAACTGAGCCTCCTGAGTAGCAGGGATTATAGGTGTGAGCCATTGCACCCAACTGGTGTAGTCACTTTAGAAAACAGTCTGGCAGTTTCTCAAAAGGCTAAATGTAAAATATAATGCAACAGTTTCACTCCTAGGCATATATCCCAGAGAAATAAAAATACATATCCACACAAAAACTTGTACAGCAATCTTCATAGCAGCATAACAGCCAACACGTGGAAATAACCCAAATGTCCACCAACTGATAAATGGATCATCAAAATGCAGTGTGTCTCTACCATGGAATATTATTCAGCCATAGAAAAAATGAAATACTGATTCACCCTATGAGGAACTTTGAAAACATTGTGCTAAGAGGGAAAAAAGCCACAAAAGAACACCTATTGTACAATTCTATTTGTCCAGATTAGGTAAACCTATAGTGACAGAAAATGAATCCATGGTTGTCTAAGGCTGGGGGCAAAGGCAGGTTGGGGGAGTAGGAGGTAATGGCTAAGGGGTGCAGATTTCTCTGTAGAGTAATGAACGGTTCTAAAAGTGACTGTGGTGATCGATGCACAGCTCTGTGAATATTCTAAAACATTCTGAATTGCAGATTTCAATAAATAAATTGAATGGTATGTGAGTCATATTTTAATAAAGTTATTATTTAAAAACATAATAATAAGGGGCTGGGCACAGGTGGTCATGCCTGCCTGTAATCCCAGCACTTTGGAAGGCTGAGGCAGGAGGATCACTCGAGGTCGGGAATTTGAGACCAGCCTGAGCAACCTAGCAAGATCCCATCTCTACGGAAAAAAAAAAAAAAAAAAAAAAAAAAACAAAAAAAATTAGCTGGACATGGCGGCACATGTCTGTAGTCTCAGCTACTTGGGAGACTGAGGTGGGAGGATTGCTTGAGCCCAAGAATTTGCGGCTGCAGTGAACCATGATCATGTCACTGTACTGCAGCCTGGAACACAGAGCAAGACCTTGTCTCTAAAAAGGAAAGAAAAGAAATGCAAGTTTTTGTCACTTTGTGAGTATAGCCAAGTTTGAGGAGAAATAGACAAGAATAAAAGAGGACTGAATAATGAGAGTTTAAGTGGCTGGTTAGGCCCAGTTGCTAGTAAAGTGGCTTCTGAAAAATTCATTAGTAAAGCTATAGCTCTAGGCACAGTCATGCAGTCAAACAATGAATGCTAAATTCATTACAAATGCCGATGGTCTTTCTTTACATGCCTTCTAGTGAAAAACTCCTAAGTGCCTGAATAGCAAATCTGCAATGATAGCAGCTGTTTATTAAAGACTACAAAAAAGAATGACAAAGTTATTCATGACAAAGAAGCTCTAATTTTGCATTTGTTCAAGTATTGATTAGGTTTAACCAATATTAAACCAATCTTGGATAAACTGCAAACAACATAATTTCATTTTCTCATTCACAATTTCATTTTCTCATTATCAAAACTGATTAGGTAGTCTAATGTCAATTCTGATCTTATTAAAAACTGATCAGATAAAAAATTATGGAATGATGAAACCAGTAAGATGTTACAACCTGTACCAAGGAGAATTCCAAAACGCACACATATCTGAGACCATCAAGTATGAGGAAATATATTTGATTACTATAATTAAAATAAACTGATTATATAGCCAACAACAACTGGGCAGGGGTCCCCTCATCCACAGCCACACAAACCCAATCATGTGGCTATGCAGTTGAAAGGCCTGCATAGCCTAGATGGGACTGGTCTGACTTGAGATTTCATTTTATTTGTATTTGTATTTTGAGACAGGGTCCCACTCTGTCACCCAGGCTGGAGTGCAGTGGTAAAATCATAGCTCACTGCAGCCTCGTTTAACTGAACTCAAGAGATCATCCTGCCTCAGCCTACCTCTACCTGGGAATAAAAGCAAGTGCCACCATGTTAGGCTATTTTTAAAAAAAATTTTCTAAAGAGAGAAGTCTTGCTATGTTGCCCAAGCTGGCTTCAAACTCCTAGCCTCAAGAGATCTGCCCACCTTGGCCTCCTGAGTAACTGGGGCGATAGGTACACAGCACCATGCTCAGCTGTATTTATTTTACTTTATTAAATTTCTTTATTTTTGTAGAGAGGAGGTCTTGCTATGTTGCTCAGGCTGCTCTCAAACTCCTGGGCCTTAAAACACACACTCCCATCTCTGCCTCTCAAAGTGTTGGAACTATAGGTGTGAGCCACTGCACCTGGTCTGACTTGAGATTTCTTTCATGTAGCATCCTTTACTTGGTAGGATTGAGAAAGGAAGCAGTGTTTTTAAAAATTACTTAATAATTCAATTAGAATCAAGCTCAACCTTGACTCCTGCCTTATCTCACAGCCCACATCCAGTCTCTCAGGAAATCCTGTTGATAGTCTTCAACATGCATCCAGGTTCTGACCATCTCTCACCACAGCCATGACCCTGGTCAGGACCACTACCATCTCCCACATGGATGCTGCCACAGTTTGGCCCCCATGCTTCTACCCAAATCTTCCCACAGTCTTTCTCAACTCAGCAGCCAGGGGGTGCTTTTAAATCAGGAGACAGATCATGTCGCCTCTCTACGCAGAACACTCCTGCAGTTCCCATTTCAGTCAGAGTAAAAGTCAAAGCCTCAGCAATAGCCTCCCAGGGCTTACACAATCTATACTGATCACCACCCGGCAACTCTGGCCTCCTCCCTTACTTCTCTCCCTCTCTCTCTCTGCTGCACTGGCCTCCTTCCAGAGCCTCGGACTCACCAGGGAGTTTCCTAATGCCTTTATCCTGTTGATTCAGCCTACAGTGCTCTTCCCTCAGCACCTTGGCCAGCTCCATCACCTGCTTCAAGCTTTTGCTCAATTTTCACTAATGAGGTCAACCCTCACCACTCTTTTTCCTCCCTTCCTCCCTCCCTCCCTCCTTCCCTCCTTCCTTCCTTCCTTCCCTCCCTCTTTTTTTTCTTTCTCTCTTTTCTCTTTCTTTCTTTCTTGAAAGAGGGTCTTGCTCTATTGCCCAGGCTGGAGTATAGTGGCTCAATCACAGCTCACAGTAACCTCAACCTCCCAGACTTAAAACAATCCTCCCACCTCAGCCTCCCTAGGAGCTGAGACTACAAGTGCATGCCACAACATCTGGCTACTTTTTTTTTTTTTTTTTTTCCAATAAGAAGTCTCACTATGTTGCCCAGGCTTGTCATAAATTCCTGGGCTCAAGCGATGCTCCCATCTCAGCCTCCCAAAGTGCTGAGATTACAGGTGTGAGCAACTGCCCCTGGCTCATGTTCATTTCTTCTTGCTGCTGCAACAAACTACCCTACATTTAGTGCCTTAAAACACCACAAATCTACCCTATTATAGTTCTGGGAACCAGAAGCCCAAACTAGGCCTATTAAGGCTAAAGTCAAGGTGTAAGAGGGGCTGCATTGCTTCTGGAGGCTCTAGAGAGAATGTGCTCCCTTGCCTTTTCCAGTTTCTAGAAGCCACCCCATTCCTTGACTCACCTTGAAGATGGCCCCAACTCCATCTTGAAGGCCAGAACTGCAACATCTTCAAATCTCCCTCTCTGACCTCTTCTTCCATCATCACATCTTCTTCTCTGTTTCTGAGAACTAACGAAATATTATGCTTGATGTTACTGTGATCACCATACCTATTCCAAACTATTTGACAAGGACAGTGATGCATGATAACATCAAAAGATTAGAAACTGTAATGAGGTCTCTCGGGCAAAATTCCATACAAGCAAATTACTGTCTCTCCAAAGCATTCCCCCCACACTTAATTCACCACTCCCTGAACAAAATGTGCCATCTTCATTGTCCAGGTCTTTACAGTGCTGGTTTCTCTGCCTGAGCAGCTCACTCCATCCCATCCCTCCACCTCCCCCTTCCCTCTCCACTCTCATACAAGTCTTCCTCATCTTTCAGGACCCAGCTTCAATGTCACCTTAACTGGAAGCTTCTCTCACCCTCCAGAAGTGCTTTCCATGCACTTGATGCATGCACTCTTATTTGATCATTTTTTAGTTATAGTCCAAGTCTTTTTGTACCTGAATAAGATGTTGCTCAGTCAGTCTCTCTTCCTGGACTCTGAAGTCTTTCATGGTAGATTCAGCTGGAAGTGACAAAAAGACATTCTTTAAAAAAAAAAAAAAAAGGAGGAATGAAACAGAAAGACATCAGTACTTAAAAGTTTTAAATGGTATGTGAAAAGAAAACAAAATTCAAGGGCTTCTAGGAAAAACGTAGGCAGGAGGGTGTTTGGGGAAAAATATAAAAAGGTTTTTTTTTTTTTTTTTTTTTTGAGACGGAGTCTGGCTCTGTCGCCCAGGCTGGAGTGCAGTGGCCGGATCCCAGCTCACTGCAAGCTCTGCCTCCCAGGTTTACGCCATTCTCCTGCCTCAGCCTCCCCAGTAGCTGGGACGACAGGGCCCGCCACCTCGCCTAGCTAGTTTTTCGTATTTTTTTTAGTAGAGACGGGGTTTCATCGTGTTAGCCAGGATGGTCTCGATCTCCTGACCTCGTGATCCGCCCGTCTTGGCCTCCCAAAGTGCTGGGATTACAGGCTTGAGCCACCGCGCCCGGCCAAGGGTTAATTTTTATCTTATTTTATTTTATTCTTTGAAAAAGGGTTTTGCTGTATTGCGTGGGCTGGACTGCAGTGGTATAATCACAGCTCACTGCAGCCTCTACCTCCAGGACTACAGCAATCTTCCCACCTAATTTTTATTTTATTTAAGAAACACAGTCTTACTCTGTTACCAAAGCTGGAGTGAAGTGGTGTGATCATAGCTGACTGCAGCCTCAACCTCCTAGACTCGAGTGATCCTCCAGTCTCAGCCTCCCTCATGTAGCTGGGACTACAGGGGTGCACTGCAATGTCCAGCTCATTTTTAAAAAATTTTTAATAGAAACAAAGTGTCACTATGTTGACCAGGCTGGTGATGATCTCCTAACCTCAAGCTGTTCTTCCACCTCAGCTGTCCAAAGTGTTGGGGTTACAGGTGTGAGCTGCTACACCAGGCTGAGGGGGTTAATTTTTAATTATCTAAAGGGCTCAAAGCAAATATTAGAAGGAGCCTCAATGCCTACCGTGGCTGACTGGTAAACTGTGATACATCTATATAATAAAATATTATGCAACCATGAAAAGGACTAAGATAGATCAACAGGTATTGGCATAGATGTCCACAAAGAAAACGTGAAGTGATGTCCAATTTGGCCCATTTTTGCAACAGCAATTATTTCCTGAGATAAAATTGTGGGTCTAAAGAGTGAAGGAAATTTTTCACTTCTTTATTTAAAAGTATTTACTATTTTAAAAAATAATCAAATTAGTAAAAGACACATTAAGCCTATAAATAAAGGGAAAAGACACAGCCCAAGCATGGTGGCTCACGCTTATAATACCAGCACTTTGGGAGGGGGCGGTGGGAGGATCGCTCAAAGCCAGGAATTCCAGAACAGCCTGGGAAACATAGCAAGAACTCGTCTCTACTAAAAATCAAAAAAATTAGCCAGGTATGGGTGCATGTGCCTATAGTCTCAGCAACTGAGGTGGAAGGATCACCTGAGCCCAGGAGGTCAAGGCTGCAGTGAGTCAAGACTGTGCCACTACACTGAAGTCTTGGCGATAGGTTGAGAGTTGGTCTCAAAAATAAAAAAAGGACAATGAAGAAATAAAGCCAATAAGCAAACATAAGGAAAGATATTAAAATATGACAAATAAAATAAATATTAGGTCTCTTATTTACTAAAAATAGTCAAACAAAAAAATAACTTGTTAAATTATAATACCCTGTGCTGGCAAAGGTGCAATGAAATGTGCATTTTCTTTTTTTTTTGAGACGGAATCTCACTCTATCGCCAGGCTGGAGTGCAGTGGCGCGATCTCAGCTCACTGCAACTTCCACCTCCTGGGTTCAAGCGATGCTCCTGCCTCAGCCTCTCAAGCACCTGGGACTACAGGCGCAGGCCACCACACTCAACCAATTTTTGTATTTTTAGTAGAGAGGAGGTTTCACCATGTTGGCCAGGATGGTCTTGATCTCTTGACCTCGTGATCCACCCACCTCAGCCTACCAAAGTGCTGGGATTACAGGCATGAGCCACTGTGCCTGGCCTGAAATGGACAATTTTTTTAATACTATTAGTGGTGTTTAAATTGTATATAAAGCCTTCCAGAGTAAAGCTTGGCAGACAATGATAATATAGACAATGACTCCCTATACTGCCTCCTCCAACTCCTAGCCTCAAGCAATCCTCCCCCGACCTCAGCCTCCCAAAGTGTTGAAATTATAGGCAGACAGCCGCCATGCCTGAAAGCTCAACAATTTACATTAAGTGTAATAAGAATGCTCATGCCCTTCACAGTAATTTCACTTCTGGAAATATCATCTTTGGATATAATTCAACATAAACAAAAGTTCATATGTACCCAGTGAAAATCTGGGAGTAATTTTTTTCTCTTTTTTAAAAAAATATGGAATGCTTCACAAATTTGCATGTCTTTCTTGCACAGAGGCCATGCCAATCTCTCCATTGTTCCAACTTTAGTATATGTGCTACCAAAGCAAGCATGAGTAATTTAAGATAGAGTGGTTACGTGGAATAAGGCAGACTTACGGGAAATTAAAAAATCTGTTGTATTTATAGGCACCTAGTAACAGCTCAGTAAATATTAGCTGCTACTTTTATTATTTTTATGGTAATTCCACTCAATTAAAAACTATCATTAAAAATTACCATTGTCATAGAACATAATGCATCCTACAGTATAATTGTAAAAACAGATATAATTTGTCCCTTGGTATATGGGGGGGATTAGTTCCAGCTCCCCCATTTCTGTGTACACCATAATCCACCCATACTCAAGTTTTCGAAGTCAGTCCTGTGGAATCCACACACAGGAAAAATGAGAAATTAGTGCGGTGTGGTGACAAGCATCTGTAGTGCCAGCTACTTGTGAAGCTGAGACAGGAGGATTGCTTGAGCCCAGGAAGTTGTGGTTGCAGAGAGCCTTAACCACACCACTGCACTCCAGTCTGGGCAACAGAGTGAGATAGAAGGTTGATTTTTAAATAGAATTTTTCTGTTCACTTGAAGATACGGCCAGGACTGTGCCACATGAAAATTCTTCATAAAATAATTATCTCATCCAATTAATGTTGGAATTGGGAACAGAAAATGTTTTGGTGACTATTTATTCCCTCACTTGCTATTATATAAAATATTGCCAGTGGGCATTTAACAACCAAAAGTGTCATCTCTGAGCTACTCACAGTGAAAGGTGATGTCTGGGGCCCAGGTGTGTTGAGGTCCCCATGTCTGGCTGGGCTATGGGTGCTGAGTGGGACTTACTTGTCCATCCGTTTTCTGTATTCCAGCACTGGGAAACTTGGGTTTATCCATCTTGATAAGAGGTCACTTAAATTCCACTTGGCAAGAACCACAAATGGAAGAAAGGCCATGAAACCACAGGCTTGCCCTTGTTCTCAAGGGAATCTTCAGCTTAGCTGGTTCTGTAAAAGAGGAATCACATTGTTGAAAACTCACCGCAGGTCAGGTAAGGTGGTCCATACCTATAATCCCAGCCCATTGGGAGACTAAGGCAGGAGGATCCCGTGAGGCCAGAAGTTCAAGAGCAGCCTGGGCAACACAGTGAACCCTCATCTCTATGAAAAATTAGAAAATGAGCTGGTGCGGTGGCACTTTCCTATAGTCCCAGCTACTTTGGAGGTTGAAGTGGGAGGATGGAAGTAGAAGCTGCAGAAGTGGAAGCTGCAGTCAGCTCTCTCTCTCTCTCTCTCTCTCTCTCTCTCTCTCTTCCCAGTCTGCCCAGCCTGGACTAGTGAAAAGTCTTCTGGTTACACAAGAGGTATGCTCTTTTTTAGGACAGGGAGGGACCAGCAAGCTTGTTCACAGCCTTTCCCTCATCCTCTGCTTAGTTTTCCAAGAACATTTATGTGGAAAGGCAGTCTCTAGGGAAAAGACCTAAATCATCAGGTTACCAAAGGAGAAATATGCCTCCTTTGTCAATTAATAAATGGAATGCCTGCCTTAAAAATCAGGGAGTTCTGCTAGGATGATTGATTCACTCCCTACGACCCTGACCTATGCAGGGAATGTAAAAACCTGGAGTTTGGGGACCTATAATATTGAAGGCCACATTGCAGATGTGGAGACCTTGCCAAAGTACAGCATTTCCACAAGGCACTACCAAACACCAGCTGGATGTCTCCATGGGTCACCACCCTATCTCTGGCTCTCATTTCCCCCGGAGATGCTCTATTCCAGCCTTCTCTTACATTTTGTATCCCGCACAGTTCCTGGCATAAGGACTCACAACATAGCAGGCTGCTGAGTTAATGGTGACCTACTGCAGATCCAATTTGAGATTCCAGCAGGGTGCTTTGTGTTTGAGAAATCAAAGGGGGAGAGAATAGACCCAGCCTGGCACTGGCCAGCTTAGCAGTCTGAAGATATAAGCTGCTCAAACGGACTATAGTGCCTCTGATTTTCTGAGTCTGCCCTTGCTCCTAGGGCTCTTTGGATGAAATTAATTTTTCCTCGTTGAAGAAATGGCTTGCTAGAATATAAAAAATTTAAAGAAGAAAAAATATTAAAATAAAATTTTATCCTAAAGAGCACTCAAAAGCACACTCCTACTAATGCTGGATCTATTTCTCTCTCTCTTGCTTTTTTTTTGTTTTCCCCCTAAGATACGGTCTCACTCTGTCACTCAGACTGGAGTGCAGTGGCAAGATCACCGCTTACTGCAGTTTTGAACTCCTGGGCTCGAGCTATCCTCCCACTTCACTCTCCCGAGTAGCTGGGATTACAGGTGCATGCCACCATGCCTGGCTAATTTTTAAATTTTTTTAGAGAGGGGGTCTCACTATGTGGCCCAGACTGGTCTTGAACTCCTGGGTCAAACTAATCCTTCCGCCTTGGCCTTCCAAAGTGCTGGGATTATAGGTTTTAGCCACTGCGCCCAGTCTATTTATCTTTCTATAACTCATATATTAAATCTTCCTCCTTAAATCACCTCATACCCACCCATCTACAGGAACAGCAAACACAGATCTCAGCGGGTCAGGCAACCTACACGAGGGAAGGAGGCCGGAGTTAACGTGGGAGACCGGGGGAAACTGTAGCAAACTATAAAGTACTCACTTCAACAGTTCTTCAACACTGTGATGGTCAAACCAAACACAGAAACAGGAAGCCCAGTTCAGTCACCAGCAGGCAACGTGGGATATTTCATCTACATGCTACAGGGCAAACTGCTTAGGATGAATGACCTGGTCTCCACCAACCTGCTCTTCAAGTCCAGCCGCTCCTGCCCAAGTCCCTATACTCTACTGACAGGACCCACATTCACAGTACTCTCCTGACACTCTGCTTGTTCATTCATTCTTTTTTTTTTTCCCCAACAAATATTTCTTTTTTCTTTTTCTCTTTTTTTTTTTTTTACTTTTTTTGAGACAGAGTCACACAGGCTGAGGTACAGTGAGGTGATTATGGCTCACCACAGTTTCCATCACCTGGGCTGGCTCACTGCAGCTTCCATCTTCTGGGCTCAAGTGATCCTCCCACCTCAGCCTCCCAAGTAGTTGAGATTACAGCCATGTAACACCACACCTAGCTAAGTTTATTGATTTTTCTTTTTATTTTTTCCAGAGTCTTGCTCTGTCGCCCAGGCTAGATGGAGTGCAGCAGCATGATCTCGGCTCACTGCAACCTCTGCCTCCTGGGTTTAAGTGATTCCCTTTCTTCAACCTCCCGAGTAGCTGGGATTACAGGTGTGTGTCACCATGCCCGACTAATTCTTATATTTTCAGTAGAGATGGGGTTTCACCATGTTCGCCAGGCTGGTCTTGAACTCCTGACCTCAGGTGATCTGCATACCTCAGCCTACCAAAGTGCTGGGATTACACACGTGAGCCACCACGCCCGGCCAGTTTATTATTTTTTGTAGAGACAGGGTCTCACTATGTTTCCCAGGCTGGCCTTGAATTCCTAGGCACAAGCAATCCTCTGGCCCCCACCTCCCAAAGTGCTGGGATTACAGGCTTAAGCCAACACATCAGGCCCTAACAAACACTTCTTGAGCTCCTACTACATACCAGGCACTATAATAGGTGCCCAAGGAAGCGCAGTGAACAAAGTAGAAGAGTTTCTGCCCTTGGCCGGGAGCAGTGGCTCATGCCTGTAATCCCAGCACTTTGGGAGGCCGAAGCAGGTGAATCACTTGAGGTCAGGAGTTCGTGACCAGCCTTACTAACATGGTGAAACCCCGTCTCTGTACTAAAAGTACAGAAATTAGCGGGCCATGATTGTGCATGCCTGCAATCCCAGTAACTCAGGAGGCTCAGGCAGGAGAATCGCTTGAACCTGGGAGGTGGAGGTTGCAGTGAGCTGAGGTCGCAGCACTGCACTCCAGCCTGGGCAACAAGAGTCAAACTCTGTCTCAGAAAAAAAAGAAAAGAAAAGAAAAAGAGTTTCTGCCCTCACAGAGCTTATAGGGTAGCAGGAAATTGATAGAGTTTGAATGTTTGTCTCCTTCAAATCTCATATTGAAATTAAATCCCTAATGTTGGAGGTGGTGCCTCGTGGGAGGTGTGTGGGTCATGGGGGCAGATCCCTCATGAATGGCTTGGTGCCCTCCCCATGGTAATGAGTGAGTTCTCTCTCTACTAGTTCATGTGAGACCTGATTGTTTAAAGAGCCTGGCACCTCCTCCCCTCTCCCTTGCTCCTTCTTCTCAACAAGTGACATGCCGGCTCCTCCTTCACATTCCGCCAGGAGAGGAAGCCTCCTGAGGTCCTCACCAGTGGATGCTGGTACTATGCTTTTTTTTTTCTGAGACAGGGTCTCACTCTGACACTCAGGCTAGAGAGCAGCGGTGTAATTATGGCTCACTGCAACACTGATATCCTGGGCTAAAGAGATCTTTTTACCTTAGACTCCCAAGTAGCTGAAACCACAGGCATACATCAGTACACTATCATGCCTGGCTATTTTTTTTTTCATTTTTACTACAGGTAAGATCTCACCATGTTTCCCAGGCTGGTTTCAAACTTCTGGGCTCAAGCAATCCTCCTGCCTCAGTATCCCAAAGTGCCAGGATTACAGGTGTGGGCCACTGTGCCCGGCCTGGCACCATGCTACTTGTATAGTCTGCAGGACTGTGAGCCAAATAAACCTTTTTTCTTTATAAACTACCCAGCCTGAGGTATTTCCTTATAGCAATGAAAAATGGACTAATCTAGGAATCATAGGCCAACACTTACCAGACTGTGATGAGCACATGACAGAAGTTCAGAGTGGGACTGAAATGCTCCCAAGGGGCTTCTTGTTGCATCACAGAGAGTGGGGTGAGTCATCTCGGCTGAGGCTAAAGATGAGCAACGATGAGAGTGAAAGAGTGATGATGGGGGTAGGGAGAGGGTTTCCTGCAGTAAAGTCCCCCAAGGAAACTGACATTCCGTGTGGCTGGAGGGTAGGGATATGGGGAGGGTGGTGCAGGATAAAACTGGGAAGGTGAGCGGAGACCAGCTCTTACCAGGCCCTGTTGCCAAATTAGTTTGACTCTGTCTTAAAGGCAATGGGCAGTCACCAGCAGGTTTTAATCAAGGACTATTTTGACCCAAATTTGCCTTTTAGGAGAATTCTTCTGGCTTCTGTGAACAGGATGAAGTGAGCAAGCCTAGAAGTCAGGAAGACAACTGGAGGCCTTCACAATAAACTAGTGTAAAAGAGAACAGGGCCAGGCACAGTGGCTCCTGCCTGTAATCTCAAAACTTGGGAAGTCCAAGGTGGGCAGATGGCTTGAGCCCAGGAGTTTGAGACCAGCCTGAGCAATGTGGTGAAACCACATTTCTACAAAAAACACAAAAATTAGCTAGGCATGGTGGCTTATACCTGTGGTCCCAGCTACCCCGGAGGCTGAGGTGGGAGGATAGCTCGAGCCTGGGAGGTTGAGACTGCAGTGAGCTGAGATCACCCCACTGTGCTCCAGCCTGGGCAACACAGGGAGACTGTCTCAAAAAAAAAAAAAAAAAAATTCCATTCTTCACTTATTAGTGCCCTAACATTCTCTTGAGAACCTTGGTGACACAGTGAATTCAACTGATTCAACTGTCATTGTAATTCAGCAACCCATACATTTAAGTTTGTGTTTGATTTCCAATAATATCAGCCCTATGGATGCAAGAAATAAGGAATTGTGTTTGGGCTATCATGGAAGCTCTCTGGATCTTAGACCATGACTTATGCTGAAAGGTAAAGACTTGAGCTTTTTGTTTTTCTCTCTGTAAGTGCTGAAGTGCAGCGGTCCCCAATTTTTGGGGAACCAGGGACCAGTTTTGTGGAAGACAGTTTTTCCACAGACTGGGGGCAGCAAAGGTCAGTTTTGGGATATATCAAGCACATTACATTTATTGTGCACTTTATTTCTATTACTATTACATTGTAGCATATAATGAAATAATTATATAACTCACCATAATGTAGAATCAGTGGGAGTCCTGAGCTTGTTTTCCTGCAACTAGATGGGCCCATATGAGGGTGATGGGAGACAGTGACAGATCATCAGGCATTAGATTCTCATAAGGACAGAGCAAGGTAGATCCCTCGCATGCACAGTTCACAATAGGGTTTGAGCTCCTATGAGAATCTAAAGCTGCCGCTGATCTGACAGGAGACAGAGATCAGGCGGTAATGTGGGGAGCGGCTGTAAATACAGATGAAGCTTCACTCACCCACCCACTGCTCACCTCCTGCTGTGTGGCCCAATAGAGGCCTGTGACCCAGGGATTCGGGGCCCCCGCTCAAGTGCATCCAAAAGGACCCTTCCCACACCAGTCTTCACAGCAGTCACGTGCAGCAGCCACTTAGCTCCCAAGGCATGTGCCTCAGCTGGCATTTCATCACAATCAACAGTAAGTGGTAGCTTGAATCATTGTGAGGTCACTTCCTGGAACTCACCAGCATCCCATTTCCCATTGGCAAGGAGCTCAGCACTGCCCCTTGGATAACCAAACCTATGCCCAAATCCCAGTTGTGTGGGTCTATCTCCTGGGACCCTTCCTAGCATCAATTCTATATTTGTCAGAGTCCAAACAGGAGACATAAACCACTCAAAAGTATAAAGTGTTAAATTTAAAATAAAAAAATATTAATTATAACAGGGCAACAGCATAGAGATTGGCTACCAAAAAAAGAACTCTAAGAATATAGGACTAGCAGAGGCCAGGCATGGTGACACATGTTTTACATAGTGTCATTGTTCACCTTGTTCAAATCTTTATAGGTTCAGGCTCAGGTCTCTGTGGTCATGCAGTGTGTCTTTTTACCAAAAGGAACACCTCATACACTCTACAAGGAGCTCCCTCAGGAAAGGATGGCACCTTGTGTAGAGGAGAGATCTCTGATCCTCTGATCTTTTCCAAAAGGAGAAAAGTAAAAGTTTGAATGTATTTTTAACTCTTGGTACTTCTGAACAGAAATAATCTGGTATGAAGTTGCTAAAAGATGCCTACAAGTTTTCATAGGAGAAACATCTAATTCATAACCAAGAGTTTATGTTATAAAATAATCTTTCCTTTAACAGGATCAATGAATGAAGAGTTTAAATACTTGTTGTAGTCCCCATTTAGTCATCTGGTATACTCTCTGTGAGGTATACTCTCAGTCATTTGGTATCCTCTCTCTGAGTAAGCCAGATGATTAAATGGAAATTACTGCACCACTAAACACCAGTACTGCAAACTCTTATTTAAAAAATTGACACCTAGGACATAAAGAATGATCCTAGGCTACGCGTCATGGCTCATGCCTGTAATCCTAGCACTTTGGGAGGCCGAGGCAGGCTGACTGCCTGAGCTCAGGAGCTCAAGACTGGACTGGGTAACATGCTGAAATCCTGTCTCTACTAAAATACAAAAAATTAGCTGGACGTCACAGCATGCACTTGTAGTCCCAGCTACTCAGGAGGCTGAGGCAGGAGAATTGCTTGAACCCGGGAGGCAGAGGCTGCAGTGAGTTGAGATCATGCCACTGCATTCCAGCCTGGGTGACAGAGCGAGACTTCCATCTCCAAAAAAAAAAAAGAATGACCCTAACGCAGCTATTTCCTTTGGCATTTATGAGATGGAAGAAATACCCATATTTGAGGGTTGGTTGGAAACTGTTTTGATATTGTATGAGGTATTTTAATACTGTGAACATGAAAAGATGAGAACCCTGCAGACCCCGTGGGAATGGAGAGAAGGAAGTACACTAGAGGGTGCTGTAGGAAATACTTTCATTCTAGGCACTGCTTTTTAAACCACCCCTCAACTTTCTTTCCTCAAAAGAATAGAAAAAACAAAGAGGACAAAAGACAAAGAAACATTCCACATGACCCTCTGTACCCTTATTTGTTGTAATAGAGGAAAAGCATTTTAGGGATTTTCTTGAGTGCAGTTTGTGATGTGATCCATGTTATTTATTATCTGTTAATGATTTTCAAAATTTCAATTTAAAACATTCAGAAGTTTAGCTTTATCAAAGTTAGTTGTTCACATGTACAACGAGTTTGGTTACCTTAATCTGTATGAACACATAGCTAGTGAATTGACATAACTATTAAACTGGAGAATCAACTGAAACATGCCAAGAACTGGCCCTTACCTTCCACAGTGACCTCAATGTCAGGAAGCTTTTCATTACTCTCAGGACTTCATGGTCTTTTTGGGGACTGCGAAGCTGTAAAATAAGCACAGAATTACTTTAGTCTGTAAAATAAGCACAGAATTACTTTAGTCTATTGGAGGAAAAAAATACAGAAGGAGACGCTTTATAAGAGTAGAGTATTAAAATTCATTCAGTTTGGCTCTTTTCCAAGAAACCTGTGGCTGGGCGTGGTGGCTCATGCCTGTAATCCCAGCACTTTGGGAGGCCGAGGCGGGTGGATCATAAGGTCAGGAGTTTTGATTTGAGACCAGCCTGGCCAACATGGTGAAACCTCGTCTCTACTTAAAAAAAAAAAAAAAAAAAGATTTACTGGGCATGGTGGCACACACCTGTAGTCCCAGCTACTCAGAAGACTGATGCCGCAGAATTGCTTGAACCCGGGAGGCGGAGGTTGCAGTGAGCCGAGATTGCGATTGCGCCACTGCACTCCAGCCTGGTCGACAGAGCAAGACTCTGTCTCAAGAAAAAAAAAAAGAAGGAAACCTGCAGAATTAAACTTAGAGTGTTATCCTCCACAAGGGGCTCAACAAAGCCATGGAAACATGAAGTGAGATTGCAAATGTGACACTTCCAATAAAATGTTTTTTTTAAAGAAAAAGAGGTCCATTAAATAATATACCTTAAAAAGCCAGGAAACTAACTGCAAGTCCTACAAAGATAGTGGCCAATGATTCTGTGATTTAAGGAATGCTGATAAAGAATGTCTTAATGCAGCGAAATATAATATGAAGTACAGGTAATCTTCTACTTTTAGTGTTTATTTTATTAGCCATTACAGGAGGCAAGTAGAAAATAACTATTTCTGGTCTAGAAAACCAAGAAATGGTACAGTAGCCAGTACAATGGTAGCCTCACAGCTAGTAAAACGATTGTGATATGACCAGGGTTTTTTCCTAAAGGTGTTCACAGAGTCATCCTGTAATGTCACAATAATTCCTATCACTGTGGATGAAAATCCTGACTTTTCCTTCCCATGACTGGCAAGTAAGTGTATGAAGAGTAAATTACTTCTATCATGAAAAAGAAAGTTAACACTAGTGTACTTTCTTCAGCCACTAAAATTCTGCAGAAACACAGATATAATAAAAGAATCATCAGGCCGGGCACAGTGACTCACACCTGTAGTCCCAACACTTTGGGAGGCTAAGGCGGGTGGGTCACCTGAGATCAGAAGTTTGAGACCAGCCTGACCAACTTGGTGAAACCCCGTCTCTACGAAAAATACAAAAATTAGCCAGGCATGGTGGCACATGCCTGTAATCCCAGCTACTCGGGAGGCTGAGGCAGGAGAGTCACTTGAACCTGGGAGGCGGAGGTTGCAGTGAGTCAAGATCGAGCCATTGCACTCCAGCCTGGGCAACAAGAGTGAAACTTTGTCTCAAAAAGAAAAAAAAAGGAAAGAAACTCAATTGTCAATATTTAGTCCCTAACAAGACTGACCCAGGAATAACAGCAGATAAAACCCAGCAGATTAAACTTCATTCAAGTACTAAGGCATACTGCGAGCCACCACAGTGCCTCTGAACACCGTGGAGGCAGTGGTCACTATTCTTGTACTGATGAAGACGACTGGGTATGGGATGCAAGGTCCATGGAGAGTGCCAGGACCGCAGCTCAGAGCCAGGCTTTTCATCAAGGACTTACAGCCTCACTTGTCACCTCTAGCTGGAAAAACATCTTAGTAGAAATGTCATTTTATTGTTTTAATTCCAGAAATGACCACAGTGGCAAATAGAACTTACTTTTTTATTGTTGTTGTTGTTGAGGCAGAGTCTCACTCTGTCACCCAGGCTGGAGTGCAGTGGTGTGATCTTGGCTCACTGCATCCTCTGCCTCCCAGGTTCAAGTGATTCACCTGCTTCAGCCTCCCAAGTAGCCGGGTTTACAAGCACCCGCCACCACGCCTGGCTAATTCTTTGTATTTTTAGCAGATACGGGATTTCGCCATGTTTGCCAGGCTGGTCTCAAACTTCTGACCCCGGGTGATCTGCCCGCCTCGGCCTCCCAAAGTGCTGGGATTACAGATGTGAGCCACCATGTCCCGCCTAGAACTTACTTTTTAACAACAAACTTGATTTTATTACTCTCACGAAGGATCCTTTCCAGTCATGGAATTCCAAACGAGAAGGGGTTCGAAAGGGGATCCCCTCTGGCAAGGCTTCTACATACAGGAACTCGGGATTTGATTCAAACAGGATATGGTACTTTTACTGCCTCAGTGAGTCCAAGAGCTTGAGCTGAAAGTTCAAGAGAACATAATTTGTAGAAAATAAAATTTGATATAGACCTTCTTTTATTTGTATCTGCATTCCCAGTACATTACGGACAAGTTCCCTACAATCGAGCAATATTCACTTCATATTGAAGGCATTTTGCTTAGGATATTGGGCAAATCTGAAGAACAAGCCTAAAAAATAAGTACTTTTAGGAGGAACATTTGGGGAATGTTCCTGCGAGCACTCCCCATTCGTTACTTCCTTCTCCATGACGGATACACCCAATCAACTCAAACACACTTTCTTGCTAAGCTTGCTCAGAATTGTTCAAGACAGCACTCTAGGAAACCACTGTCAACAAATCTAAGTATTTGCCTCACGTGTGTCAGCCAGATTCGAAGTACAGATAGCGGAATGACATTTAGCCCAATGCCTCTCTTCCTCTCCCATCCTGACACATGAGAAAGCTGAATCCAAGAGAAATGAAGTTGCCTGCTTGGTTTCAATAGCAAGTATACTAGCAGAAATAAACCAAAGCCCGGTTTCTGGGACCTTCCTCTTTTAGTTCCTGAACTTCCATAATTCATTCAGACATGATCCTTCATTGATATGTTATTAAACACCAACAGTAGGGGAAGGACTATGAGTCCCTTCATGTCCATATGAAAGGGTGAGACTCTTGTCTCCAAAAAATAAAAAATACCAAAATGTTTCAATTAAAAAAAAAAAAAGGGTGATGGTCTTTGGTAATGTTTAAATAGAAAATAAGAGTATCACTTTCAAATAAGCTGACACTTTCTGAACATGTAATAACTAGGGTCACAGAATCACAGAGGCCAGTGAGAAGATTAAAAAGCACCCCTGTGAGCCCCAGTGACACAAACACCGCCAGGAACATTTCCTGTTCCTGTCCCTCCAACTCATCCACAGCAATATAATGTCAGCAAGTGGCACAATCTGCCTCCCCTACCTCCAGGCAGCCACAGGGAAAGTAGAGAGCAAAGGGACCATTCCCTGTGTCACTGATTAGTGAGGCTCAATGGGAAACACGAAGCATGAGGGGCACCCAAAGATAGGTGACAAGTTCAGTGTCTCCCCTTTGTCTTCCTGCTTCATGTATTATCTGCATCTTCTGCTCTTCTCATGATAAGGAAAGCAGCAGCAATAGCGTGCCTACTGTGGAAATGTGGGACTACTCATCGGGCATCATGGAACTTAATGTAGAAGTTTATACAGCCCTAGGAGCTTTCAGAACCTAGTGTCCTAACATGTACATCCAAGTTTTCTAAGGCTCTTGACCAGGCAGTAGACTGTGAGCCCCCAGGAGTTTACACAGGTTTTCTAGGGTCTTCATACAGCTAACCACAGTCATGGCAACTCCTTAATCTCCTTTTTAAACAAGTGTTTTCCCAATTGTTCCCTTAAAATTGGGCAGTTTAGGTTGGGCACAGTGGCTCATGCCTGTAATCCCAGCACTTTGGGAGGCGGAGGTGGGCAGATTACTTGAGGTCAGGAGTTTGAGACCAGTCTGGCCAACATGGTAAAACCTTGTCTCTACTAAAAAAATACAAAAATTAGGTGGGCATGGTGGTGGATACCTGTAATCCCAGCTGCTTGGGAGGCTGAGGCATGAGAATCCCTTTAACCCAGAAGGCAGATGTTGCAGTGAGCCAAGACTGTGCCACTGTACTCCAGCCTGGGCGACAGAACAAGACTCCATCTCAGAAAAAAAAAAAAAAAAATTGGGCAGTTTAGAGCCTCTGATATAGGAAGTGAGTGTGCACAATGATTGGCGGCGATGAGCTAATAAGCATCATTAACTAGGCCATGGTGGTTTTTTAAAATTGTGATTTGCCTGGCGAAGTGGCTCACGCCTGTAATCTTAGCACTTTGGGAGGCCAAGGCGGGCAGATCACCTGAGGTCAGGAGTTTGAGAACAGCCTGACCAACATGGAGAAAGCCTGTCTCTAGTAAAAATACAAAATTAGTCAGGTGTGGTGGTGCATGCGTGTAATTCCAGTTACTCGGAAGGCTGAGGCAGGAGAATCGTTTGAACCCAGGAGGAGGTTGCAGTGAGCCAAGATTACACCCCAGCCCGGGCAACAAGAGTGAAACTCCATCTCAAAAGAAAAAAAAAATCGATACCCATCAGATGGTGAGGCATCCATAATGTGACAAGGTGCCAAGGAATATCCCTAAGGGTGGAACTACAGCGAAGTCTCCTGGATTTCCTTCCTTGGGTCCCTTCCCTGGGCCCACTCCCCACCCATATAACCACATCCTCACTCTTCTCCCCTAAACACAAATTGAGGGACACTCAAAGCAAGCATGGTACTCACTTCTTAACCGATCCATCCCCTCCTCCATCCCCAACACATGGGGAGAACTTATGTTAGCCTTGAAAATAAGAAAGACTTACCAGCCTACAGTTATTTTTCCAGGCTGTCTTTTTTTACCCTCTCACCTGGCAGAAATTTATTCTCCTGGCCAGTAGCTATTTGTAAAACTGGTCTGCCTCCCTATTTTCACACCAAGATACTAATTATTTAGTAGAAAAGGGAGTATTCTAAATCAGACAATTAGCAAATCGCCTAGAATTTCCACCCCCTCCACAGAGGCACACAAACAAGAGAATTAACCCAATTTGTTGTCTGTAATAAACAGGATGTTCTACCCACCACTGAGCCCCAGAGCTTGTTACTAGATGACTAATCCCCAGCAGTAATGGCTACAATGGCCCAGTTCCCTATTTTATTACTGTGTGCAGAAATTTGAAAGGCACTCCTCTCCCACCCCCATCTTCTCTTACATACTTTTGTACATCAATCCATTAAGAATCTGAAGTGTAATATATCTTACTCACTATTACCCTGTTAAATTGCTCTACAGCTGCCATGGGAGTGATTGCAGTGATCAGTGATTCAGACATCTTGAGCAAAGGGCTTTAAGTAGGTTTCGTTATTAAACCTTCCAAAGGTCTTATTATTGAAATGAACCTGAGAGAGAGCAGTATGCCTCCTTGAGGCAGTCATACTAATGATTCTTAAGTTATGAAAAGATGTCAGACTCATCATCAATGTTGCGCTTGTGAGTACGAGTAACTGGGAATTTATCAACCAATAAAACCAACTGGCATTCTAAGAATGAAGAACAATAATCTCATTTTAAGTAGCATATGCAGTGCTGTGCAACCCTTTCAAAAGCTGCCTTTGGCCAGGCGTGGTGGCTCACACCTATAATCCCAATACTTTGGGAGGACAAGGCAGGCAGATCACCTGAGGTGAGGAGATCAAGATCATCCTGGCTAACATGGTGAAACCCCGTCTCTACTAAAAATACAAAAACTTAGCTGGGTGTGATGACACATGAATGTAATCCCAGCTACTCAGAAGGCCGAGGCAGGAGAATCACTTGAACCCAGGAAGCAGAGGTTGCGGTGAGCCGAGATCACATCACTGCACTCCAGCCTGGGCAACAAGAGCCAAATTTTGTCTCAAAAGTAAATAAATAAATAAATAAATAAGCTGCCTTTGACCGGGCACAATGGCTTAGGCCTGTAATCCCCACCATTTTGGGAGGCCAAGAGGGTGGATCACCTGAGGTCAGAAGTTCGAGACCATCCTGATCAACATGGCAAAATCTTATCTCTACCAAAAATACAAAAATTAGCCGGGCATGCTGGTGCATGGCTGTAATCCCAGCTACTCAGGAGGCTGAAGCAGGAGAATCGCTTGAACCCGGGAGGTGAAGGTTGCAGTGAGCTGAGATCTCACCACTGCACTCTGGCATGGGTGACAAAGCAACAGGCTCCATCTCAAAAAAAAAATAAAAAAAAAACTGCCTTTTGCCTCACTGAGTCATTGCTTAGTAAGAGCAATACGCTTCTTCTCAAGAGAACACCAAATGGGCGGATGACGACCGGGTGCGCGTGGGGAGCCCGGAGGCCCCTGGTGGCCCCGTGGATGGGGAACCCGCGGTGGGTTCCGCGGAGGGTTTTCGGCAGTGCCATCCGGGGCGGTCGCGGCGCGGAGGCCGGGAGACCGCGGAGCTCGCGGAGGACAGGCGAGGATAAGGACAGGGATGCCCGTCACTAAGCTGGGCCGCTTGTCAAGGAATGAAGATCAAGGTCCCTGGAGGAGCCTCTACCTCTTCTCTTTCCCATTTAAGGCGAATCTCGCGACGATCACTGAACTTTTTTCTTGGGGGCTTCTCCTCAAAGACGAGGTAATTGAAGATTAATGCCGGTGCCAAAGCAGACGACCCGTGCTGGGCCAGCTCGACACCAGGTTCAAGGCGTTTGTTAAGCTATGGAGACTACAATGGCCTACGTCGGCCTGGGCTGTTAGACGTGCTCCCCAAGGAGGCTGTGCCCACTGGCCATCCGTGGGCCCATCATCCTGCGCCAAACTCTCCATTGGTCCCGGTGCGCAGAGGCTACTGGGGACAAGATCGCAAGGCCCCACACCGTCCACTTGCAAGCGCCACAGGCCGCTGCGGTCTGTGCTAAAGTGCGCCTCAATCCCTGGCACCCCAGGGGCACTGGCATCGTCTCAGCGCGCTGTGCCCAGAACTGCTCATCGATGGCTGGGTATTGATGCCGCTACACCTCCAAGCCCGGGGCTGCACTGCACCTGGGCCAACTTCGCGCAAGGCCACTTCAGGTCCATCTCTCAAGACCTACGACTACCTGGACCCCTGACCTCATGCGACAACCTGGAAGGAGACTGTGTTTTACCAAGTCTCCCTATCAGGAATTTCAACCGACCACCTTGTCAAAGACCCACACCAGAGTTCTCTGTGGCACACCGGACCAGGCTCCAGCCTGCTGGCTACAACCATAGGCGTCTTTATACAAGCAAAATAAAGGAAAATTAACCTGAAAAAAAAAAAAAAAAAAAAAGAGCAAATACTGGAAAAAACTCAAGTGCACACGTATAAGGAACTGATTCAATAAAGTAGGAGGCAGCCATCCACCCAATGGAATACTATGCAGCTCTGATTTAAGAATGAGAAAGCTTTCTCTGTACTAACAAGGAAAGATCCCCAAGACACACTGTTAAGGGCAAAACAGTACAGAACAGGTTATATGAGCTACCTTTCATGTAAAAGAGTATGAGGGGGGTAAGAACAAACGTTCATATTTGCTTTTATTTATGTAAACACTCGATGGATATATAAGGAGCTATTAAGAGTGACATATGATAAGGTGGAGGAGTTCTACAGGGTGCACCAGACAGGGCTGGAAATAATATTAAAGATCTCAACATATGCCTTTCAAAATAACTTTTCATATTTTTAACTTACCTTTACTACCTATTTGTTTGGGTCAGGGCTCCATTTCCTCCACTTTGGGACCAGGTAATCAGGCTTCAGACTACCTACCTCTGCCTGTCAGAAGTCACTAACCTCATGAAAGGAGTAATTTAGGTTAAAGGAGGAGCAAAGCTATTACTCAACTGTTTCCTTAGAAAAGGAAAAACTGGGCTGGGCGTGGTGGTTCACGCCTGTAATCCCAGCATTTGGGAGGACAAGGCGGGCAGATCACAAGGTCAGGAGATCGAGACCAGCCTGGCCAACATAATGAAACCTCATCTGTACTAGAAATACAAAATTAGGGCCAGGCATGGTGGCTAACGCCTGTAATCCCAGCACTTTGGGAGGTTGGGCGGGGGGGCGCGGATCACGAGTTCAGGAGATCGAGACCATCCTAGCTAACACAGTGAAACTCTGTCTCTACTAAAAATACAAAAAATATTAGCTAGGCGTGGTGATGGGGACCTGTAGTCCCAGCTACTCGGGAGGCTGAGGCAGGAGAATGGCGTGAACCCAGGAGGTGGAGCTTGCAGTGAGCCGAGGTAGTGCCACTGCACGCCAGCCTGGGCAACAGAGCGAGACTCCATCAAAAAGAAAAGAGAAGAGAAGAGAGGAAGAAAAAATTATCTGGGCATGGTGGTGCGGGACTGTAATCCCAGCTACCCAGTAGTCTGAGGCAGGAGAATGGCTGGAATCCACGTGGCAGAGGTTGCAGAGAGCTGAGATCGTGTCACTGCACTTCAGCCTGGGCAAGAGCGAGACTCTGTCTCCAAAAAAAAAAAAAAAAAACCTGATAAAACATATGGGCCCCTAAAATTTGAACATTTAGATGCAAGACTGAGTTAAAATATCTTTAAAACACATAAAAAATGTACAAACAGCAGAGGTGTGACAATATGCTAAAAAATGTATAAGGGGAGTGAAAGAGCAGGTTAGTGGTCCTCCTTCCCTGCTCCCTTTACAGTTTGATTTCATCCTTGGCTTTTCATAATGTACTTTTGTAAAGAGGGCAGATACGCATCCAGGTCTAGGATTACAACTACAGGTGTCTGTCTGTTTATTTGTTGAGACAGAGTCCCACTGTGTCACCCAGGCTGGAATGCAGTGGTGCAATCTCAGCTCACTGCAACCTCCACCTCCCGGGCTTAAACGATTCTCCTGCCACAGCTTCCCGAGTATTACAGGCACCCACCAACACGCCAAGCTAATTTCTGTATTTTTTGTAGAGACGGGGTTTCACCATGTTGGCCAGGCTAGTCTCAAACTCCTAACCTCAAGTGATCCGCCTGCCTCGGCCTCCCAAAGTGCTGGGATTACAAGCATGAACCACTGTGCCCGGCCTGGATTGCAACTATTTTAAGACCACGTTCTGCACAATGCCTTTTTTAAAAAAAAATTTTTGAGACGAAGTCTCACTCTCTAGCGCAGGCTGAGTGCAATGGCATGATCTCAGCTCAACGCAACCTCCACCCCCCGGTTCAAGCGATTCTCCTGCCTCAGCCTCCCAAGTAGTTGCAACTACAGGACCCGCCACAATCCCTGGCTAATTTTCTGTGTTTTTAGTAGAGATGGGGTTTCACCATGTTAGCCAGGTTTGTCTCAAACTCCTGACCTCAGGTGATACGCCCACCTCAGCCTCCCAAAGTGCTGGAATTACAGGCATGAGCCACCGCACCCAGTCACAAGTGCTATTTTATTAAATACTTCTGTGGTCCCCCTTCCCCAGACAAAAAGAAAAAAGGAAAAAGGAAAGGGGAAGTCATTGTTCAGGGCCGGTAAAGGGTTTATCTAGCTTTGTGGTGTAAAAGAACCCGTAACACTTAATAAATTTAATAATATTTAACAATATTTAATAAATTTAATAAATGTATTAATATTTAACAATATTTAATGGATTTAATAAATTTATTAATATTTAGCAATATTTAATAAAATTAATCCATTGCCTAGTCCTTACATCAAAACACCAAGGACAACTAGGCCCTCCTACCTCCTCGTAGCTTCAACTAGATAAATGCAAACATGTTGGCTCACGCCTGTAATCCCAGAACTTTGTTTTTTCTTTTTCTTTTTTTTTTTGAGCCTGAGTCTCATTCTGTTACCCAGGCTGGAGTGCAGTGGTATAATCCCAAATCACTGCAACCTCCGCCTCCAGGTTCAAGAGATTCTCCTGCCTCAGTCTCCTGAGTAGCTGGGACTACAGGTGCCTGCCACCGCGCCCGACTAATTTTTTGTATTTTTTTTTTTTATTAGAGACGGGGTTTCACTGTGTCAGCCAGGATGGTCTCGAGCTCCTGACCTCGTGATCCAACCGCCTCGGCCTCCCAAAGTGCTGGGATTACAGGCGTGAGCCGTCTCTTATCATTCATTCCCTAAACAACACCCAGAGCGTCTCCTCAAAACTTAAATTAGGCCAGGCGCGGTGGCTCAAGCCTGTAATCCCAGCACTTTGGGAGGCCAAGATGGGCGGATCACAAGGTCAGGAGATCGAGACCATCCTGGCTAATACGGTGAAACCCCGTCTCTAATAAAAAATACAAAAAACTAGCTGAGCGAGGTGGCAGGCGCCTGTAGTCCCAGCTACTCAGGAGCCTGAGGCAGGAGAATGGCATAAACCCGGGAGGCAGAGCTTGCAGTGAGCTGAGATCCGGCCACTGCACTCCAGCCTGGGTGACAGAGCGAGACTCTGTCTCAAAAAAAAAAGAAAAAAAACTTAAATTAGATCATTTAATTCAGGGGTCAGTAAACTTTTTCTACACAAACCAGATAGTAAACATTTTAGGCTTCTGGGCCATATGTGCTCTGTTGAAACTACTCAGCTGTGCTCTTGTAACATTAAAACAGCCATGGACAATATGTAAATCCATGGGTGACACTGTGTTCCAATATGGTTTATTCATAAAAATAGGCACCAGGCCAGATTTGACCCATGGGCTACAGTTTGCCGACCCCCGATGTAATTGCAGTGCTTCCTACTCCACTGGAATTAATCCAGATTCCTTTCCATGGCCTAGAAGGTGCTCCATCCTCATCTGAGTATTACTGGCTCCTTCAGGCTCCACTATGCTCCAGCCACCCTGACCATCTTTGTGGTGCTTAAACACTGTGCCAAGTCTGTTCACATCTCAGGTCCCTACAGTTGACATTCTCCCCATCAGGACCACTCTTGCCCAGATCTTCTTTGAGCTGCCTCAGTTCAAATGTCACCTCCTCAGAGAGGTCTTCACTGCCCACCCCAATAGGTCAGTGCCCATCCCAATGCCCAAATATTCTAACTCCCACAGCTCCATTTATTTTCTTCAAATTACTTATCACCATCTGAAAACATATCATTTGTTGCATGTACATAGCCTGCTTTCCCACCACCACATCACCACTAGAATGGAAGCTCCCTGGGAACAGAGACTGTCTTACTCATTCTCCCTAAGTTCCCAGCACCTAGATCTGTGCCTGGCACTTAGCAGGGGCTCAAAAAAATCTGTTCTCTAAACTGTTATTGCCTCTAGTCTCACTCTTTCCAACTCACTGGTATCCTCACTACCACTAGTGATCTTTCGAAAACACAAATGGGGCCAAATATGGTGGCTCATGCCTGTAATCGCAGCATCTTGGAAGACTGAAGTGAGAGGATCCCGTGAACCCAGGAGGGTCAGGCTGCCGTGAGCCATGATCATGCCACTGCACTCCAGCCTGGGATACAGAGGGAGACCCTGTCTCAAAAAAAAAAAAAAAAAAATTAGCACTGTATGGTGGTGCACACCTGTAGTTCCTACTACTTGAGTGGCTGACGCAAGAGGATCCCTGGGCCCAGGAGTCTGAGGTTACAGTGAGCTATGATTGTGCCACTGCATTCAAGCCTGGGCAACAGAACAAGACTCTGTCTCAAAAAAAAAAAAAAAGAAAAAGTGGGCTGGTAACAGTGACTCATGCCTGTAATCCCAGAGTTTAGTACCTCTTTTTAGCCTTTTAATTTCTGAAAAGCAGGAGGGCAGAAAAGATTAATCAAATTAAACACAACAGCAGGGAGGCCACAATGAGGAGGTCTCCAGGGGTCTTTTAGCAAACTTCCTAAAACATGTCTCAGCTGTGTAGAAATAAGATTTTACAGTTGCGGTGGTGCGGGCCCGTAATCCTAGCACTTCGGGAGCAGAAGCGGAGCAGATCACTTTGAGCTAAGGGCAACACAGAGGAAACCCCCGTCCCCTCCCCCACCCCCCAGTCCCACCCCGGTCTCTACCAAAAACACAAAACTTAGCCAGGCCTGGTGGCAGGTGCCTGTAGTCCCAGCTACTCAGGAGGCTAAGGCAGGAGAATTGCTTGAACCCAGGAGGCAGATGTTGCAGTGGGCTGAGACCGCACCACTACCAGCCTGGATGACAGAACAAGACTCCGTCTCAAAAAAGAAAAAAAACAAAGAAAAACAAAACACAAGGTTAAGAGAGACCTCAAACCTTACAGATACAAGTTTAACAGGGACCCCAAAGCAAAAAATCCCAGTCTTTTTTCTCCCAATCATTGAAACACTAGGGGGGTGTAATAGTTTTGCAGCCTAGCTGTAGCAGGCTGATGCTCACAAGATGCCCATATCCTAATCCCGGGAACCGGTGAACATGACCTTACACAGCAACAGGGGCTTTGCAAGTATAATGAAATTAAGGGTCTTTGGCCAGCTTGTCCCCCCCGCAGGGTTTATGTACTCACCTGGATCCTTATAAGAGCAGAGCAGGTGATGGAGAGCAGAGGGAGATGTAGCGATGAAAGCAGGAAACTCGCGTCACTGGAGAAGGGCAGCACAAGCTGAGGAGAGCAGGCCGCCTCCAGGGCCAGGAAATGGAATCTCCCGCAGAGCCTGGGAAGGCACCAACCCTGCTCCCACCTTGACTCCGTGGGACAGGCTGTAGAATTCTGGCCTTCAGAACTGTAAGGGAATACCTCTGTGCTGTTTTAAGCCACTAAGTGTGTGGTAATTTGTTGCAGCAGCAACAGGGAACTAGTATTGTAGTGAAGCCTCAAAACCCACCTGAAGGGGCCAGGCGCAGTGGCTCGTGTCTGTAATCCCAGCACTTTGGGAAGCCGAGGTGGGCAGATCACTTGAGGTCAGGAATTCCAGACCAGCTTGGCCAACACGGTGAAACCCCATCTCTATAAAAAATACAAAAATTAGCCAGGTGTGGTGGTGCATGCCTGTAATCTCAGCCACTCAGGAGGCTGAGACATGGGAACTGCTTGAACCCGGGTGGTGGAGGCGAAGGTTGCAGTGAGCCGAGATTGCGCCACTGCACTGCAGCCTGGGTGACAGAGTGAGACTCTGTCTCGAAAAAACAAAAAAAAACCCCACCTGAAGAAGGTTTCCAGTACTGCCAGCAGTCCCCCGTGCAACACCCAGAAGCAGACATTCCTTTGCTGCGGGCCATGGACAGGCAGAAGGAAGCGCCTCCTCATGGCAGAGGCCAACCCAGGAGAAACCCAAGGGAAGGCACTGCCAGGCCAGCCCCTCTGCCAAGGCCATTTTTTTTTTTTTTTTTTTTGAGACAGTTTCACTCTGTCTCCCAGACTGGAGTGCAGTGGCACCATCTTGGCTCACTTCAACCTCCACCTCCCCAGTTCAAATGATTCTCCTGCATCAGCCTCCTGAGTAGCTGGTATTACAGGAGCACAGCATACCTAGCTAATTTTTGTATTTTTAGTAGAGATACGGTTTTCATGTTGTCCAGGCTGGACTCGAACTCCTGGCCTCAAGTGATCCACCTGTCTCAGCCTCCCAAAGTGCTGGGATTACAGGCGTGAGCCACCGCACCCAGCACTCCTCAAGGTCTTTGATGGCAGGTTTTTCTAGGTGATCAGTCCTTGTCTGGTCTGGCTGTGTCCCACTTTCCCTCTCACCAAGTTGGAACCCCTAGCTAGTTACCAGAGGAGGAGAGTGTGTACCCCAATCCCAGCTTGGTATTAAGGAAGGAGACCACTACTACTCCTGCTGCCCTCCTCCCCGCACCTTGTCTAGTTCACAAGACAGGAGGAAAGAGAGAAAGAAACAAAAGTAAGATAAATAGCCAGACAACCTTGGCACCACCACCCGGCCCTAGGAATTAAAAAAAAAGTAGTAATAATAACATCAACCCCTGACCTAAACGACTTGTGTTATCTGTAAATTCCAGACACTGTATGAGAAAAAGCATTGTAAAACTTTTTGTTCTGTTAGCTGATGCATGTAGGCCCCAGTCACATTTCCCATGCTTGCTCGATTTATCACGACCCTTTCACATGGACCCCTTAAAGTTGTAAGCCTTTAAAAAGGCCAAGGATTTCTTTTTCCAGGAGCTCGGCTCTTAAGATACGAGCCTGCCAATGCTCCCGGCCTAATAAAAAACCTCTTCCTTCTTTAATCCGATGTCTGAGGAGGTTTGTCTGCGGCTGGTCCTCCTACAGTATGGTTCAGATCTGCATTTAACTCATGAAGCCTGGTTGCTCCCCATGCCCTGGAGGAAAAAAGGGTCTCACTGCAGGTATGATACAGGACGGGCCTGTCCCCAGAACCCTGTGAGAGGGAAGCCCAATGTCCCACCAGGTTGGCAGGGCTGGGGAAGGGAGAGTTATGGTAGCCCCAAGGCTAAAAAGACGCAGCAGAGGAGCAGGACAGCGCTCCCGTGGAACTCATGCCGCTGCCTGAGGGGGATGAGGGAGGAGTGCACCAGCGCGGCTTTTCCCCTCCCTCCCTGCCATGTTACTCTGATCCCCTCCAGGTGAGCTGCCCACTTTGGGCCCAGGGTTGCCGCTGGGGCCTGTACCCAAATGCAGCCCCCCATGGCCATGGCCCCAGGAGTGGGGCAGAGCAGGGAGGAGTCCTGGACACAGGAGATACAGGGGCAGGAAGGAATGGGCCTCAAACTCCAGGAGGGGACCCTTCTCATGGGTCCTGCTTTCTGGCCTCTCCTCGCTTACTCCTGGGCTGATCACCCTGGGAAGAACGGAGCCAAGGTTTCTCACCCTCAGGTCCGAGAGGTTCAACTACCGGGCCCTTAGAGAGGTGCGAGCCCCTGAAACGATGCAAGGTGCCCGGCCTAATCTTTATATTATTAGTAGAGATGGGGTTTCACCATGTTGGCCAGGTTGGTCTCGAGTTCCTGACTTCAAGTGATCCGCCTGCCTCGGGCACCCAAAATGTTGGAATTACAGGCGTGAGCCAAAGCGCCCAGCGAGCCCTATTTATTTAAGCCTGTACATTTCGCCCTTGTTAAAGTATTTGAACATTCAATTATCATGTTTTCTTTCAGCAGTCCCTCCCGGTTGCACACTTGGATAGTTTTTTTATTTTCTTAGGGTTTACCTCAGTCTCGCAGGATGGAGTGCTGTGATGGGATCATAGCTCATTGTAGCCTTGAACCCTGGGGTTCAAGTATCTGGGAAGCTGAGGTGGGACTTGACAGATGGGGTCGTGCCATGTTGCCCAGGCTGCTCTTTAACTCCTGGCCTGAACGGTTCCTTCCGCCTCGGCGGCGCGCGGACATAGTTTTCTAGTTTTGACCCACAGAAACACTGTGCTGGGTCAGAGTTTGTCAACTACCCTTCTCCAGCCAGCAACACCCAGAACACGGCGGGGAAATCGCGGTTACCAGGCTCCACCCTGAGGAGAAAACAACCCAACTCCAGGCACGGTAACGACACTGTGACGTCCCCGAAGGCTTCGCAGTATTATGTAGCCAAAGACCCGCTCTTGTGACGTCAGCGAGGTCACGCGCCTGTGACATCACAGAGACCCGACCCTCACGTGGAGCCAATCGGAACTCGAGGAGTGGCCGCTGGGTTTTCCAGGAGCGCGCATGCGCAGACGCGTGGCCCCCACTGCCGGTCAATGTCCGCAGGCTGCGGGTTAGTGTCCGCAGGCTCCCACCCGGCCCCCGCCACTGATAAGCTACAAGGAGGAGCTTTACCACTGGCTCTACTACTACTACTTGCGCGACTTCTCAGCCTGCGGCGTAGGGCGCAGCAAGGGCCTGACGCTGAAAGAGCAGGCGCTGCGCACCAAGCGGCTGTCGCCTGGCGAACACAAGCACAAGGTCGGACAGAAGCTCCTCAGTGGCCACCGCAAGCCCGCTAGCTCCGGCTGCAGCCCTTGCCGCACACTCGCCTCACCTGAGCCTGGGTACGTCGCTCCCCAACACCTCCCCCAGCCACGTCCCGGGGACCCCGGCTGCGTCCCCGCCGCGCGGCGCCGCTCATCCTGGGCAGGGTCGACCCCCTCTGAGGCTGCGCCGCATTAGGGAGCTGCACCCCCGGCTTGACCTCTGATGGCCGTTGCAACAACATCAAACTTTGGAACTTTGTAGGGGGGTACAAGGGGCTAGGAAACGAAGAAAACATCTTTTTAAAAATATAAGCGATCGGGCCGGACGCAGTGGCTCACGCCTGTAATCTCAGCACTTTGGGAGGCCGAGGCGGGTGGATCTTGTGGTCAGGAATTCAAGACCATCCTGGCCAGCATGGTGAAACCCCGTCTCTACTAAAAATACAAAAATTAGCCGGGCGTATTGGCGGCCACCTGTAATACCAGCTACTCGGGAGACTGAGGCAGAGGCGGAGGCAGAGAATTTCTTGAACCCGGGAGGCGGAGGCTGCAGTGAGCCGAGATCGCGCCACTGCACTCCAGCCTGGGCGACAGAGCGAGACTCCGTCTAAAAAGTGCTCTTGCTCAGACTGAAGAAAGTAATTGGGCCGGCCTGGTGCCTCACACCCTTAATCCCAGCACTTTGGGAGGCCGAGGTGGGCGGATCCCTTGAGCTCAGGAGTTCCAGACTAGCTTGGGCAACTTGGTGAAATTCTGGCTCTACAAAAATACAACAAATTAGCTGGGCATGGTGGCGCGCGCTTGTAGTCCCCGCTACTTGCGGGGCTGAGGCTGGAGGATTGCTTGAGCCCAGGAGGTGGAGGCTGCAGTGAGCGTGATCTCGCCACTGCACTCCAGCCTGGTCGACAGAGTGGGACACTGTCAAAAAAAGAAAAAAGAAAAAGAAAGTAACTGATCTGTGTTTTTGTCTGATTTCCTACAGGATACCGAAGAACCTGTTCAAAGTATTTTCTGTAACTCCAACTGTAACTTGGTTCTAGGAAGACAGAATCCATATTTGGTCAACAGACCTTTTCACCCTCACTTAAGTTTACTGCTTCGATATCTTTTCCTTACTAATTGATTGTTAATTAAGTAGTGTCCAAGTGAGTTAGCCTTTTTAGGGTTTATTAATTAAAAGAGAGCATCAAGAGTGACAGTTTAACTTCCAGGTTGTTTTTTTTTTTCCCAGTTACTGTGGTAACTCTTTTCAAGTCCACAAATGATTTTGTTCTTAACTGTAAAGAAGAAGTTAGAAATGTAAGTGGGGAGAGAACAAAGTTAGGAATATGTGTAAGATTTCTACCTAAATGTCAGCTGGGCGCAGTAGCTTACACCTGTAATCCCAGCACTTTGGGAGACCAAGGTGGTCAATCGCCTGAAGTCAGGAGTTCGAGACCAGCCTGGCAAACATGGCAAAACCCCATCTCTACTAAAAATATAAAAATTAGATGGGAGTGGTGGTGGGCGCCTTTAGTCCCAGCTACTTGGGAGGCTGAAACAGGAGAATTGCTTGAACCTGGGAGGCCAAGGTTGCAGTGAACCGACATCATGCCACTGCACTACAGCCTGGGCGACAGAGCAAGACTCCATCTAAAAAAAAAAAAAAAAGAAAGAAAGAAAGATTTCTACCTAAATGTCACATACTGTTCTGAAGGTTAGTATTTGGTATTCTGATGTATATTGCACAGTGTGTCAACCTCAAATAATCAAAAGGGTCAGAATCTAAAGGGAGTTTATTCATGCAGAGAGTTTAAGGAGGGTCACCTGGGAAGCACAGATACCCAAGAGTGGAAGACAGTGTTCCAAGGCTTAGAAGTTTGGGATCACTTGCATAGACAAAGTTTAGGGAAGCTTAGCAGAATTTCAGCATCTCTCCGTGTAAGGCTTAATACATACTTAAAACAATCTGATTGGTCCGGGTGGTCTTTCTTTCACTTTGTCACCCACGCGGGAGTGCAGTGGTGCAGTTGCAACTCAATTACAGCCTCAGCCTCCCTGGCTCAAGCGATCCTCCCACCTCGGCATCCCTAGTAGCTGGGACTAGAGGCATGCACCAACACACCTGACTAATTTTTGTATTTTTTGTAGAGACAGGGTTTCACCACGTTGCCCAGGCCAGTCTGAAATCCCTGGGCTTAAACAGTCCGCTCACCTCAGCCTCCCAAAGTACTGGGATTGAATGCATGAACGGCTGCACCCAGACAAGGTGGTCTTTTTTTTCAGGAAAGGTGTATTTAACCTTCTACACTGAAGATGTAAGTCATGGGGTCTTTTGTGCCATCTGGTATGAGTTAGGTACAGAACAATAAAGGAGGCAGTTAATCTGTAACAAAGTTGAGTGATTGGAAGGAGAGGAGGACTAGTCTCTGGTCTCTCATAGTCATTTACCGACTGAAAATAATAAGGAAGGAATAAATTATAATTTAAGAAGCAGAAGTTACAAACATGCTATGTGACTCTGTCAGGGTGTAACTTCCCTCGAGGCATAGTAAATCTTATAGGGGGTCCTGAAACTTTTTTTTTCTTTTTTAGTTATTAGGATCTCTGCACTGTTGATCCCACAACAATTCTTCGAGCTAGATGCTGCTATCCACTTTTTCGTTGTTTGTTTTTGAGACAGAGTCTTGCTCTGTCGTCCATGCTGGAGTGCAGTGGCGTGATCTCGGCTCACTGCAACCTCTGCCTCCTGGGCTCAAGCAATTCTCCAACCTCAGCCCCGCCAGTAGCTGGGATTGCAGGTGCCCACCACCACACGCAGCTAATTTTTGTGTTTTTAATAGAGACCAGGTTTCACCTTGTTGACCAGGCTGGTCTCGAACTCCTGACCTCAGAAGATCCACCCGCCTCAGCCTCCCAAAGTGCTGGGACTACAAGCATGAGCCACCACACCCCGTCCGGGAGGGAGAGGTTACGGTGAGCCAAGATCACACTACCACACTCCAGCCTGATTGACAGAGTGAGACTCTGTCTCAAAAATAAATAAATAAATAAATAAAATACTTAGGATCTCCATTTCTGTGGGTCAGGAATTCAGGAGTGACAGAGCTGGGTTATTTGGGCTCAGGGTGTCTCATAACATTGCAGTCAAGCTGTCCACTGAGACTACAGTCACCTAAAGCCTGTTTCCAAGATGGCTCGCTCATGTGACTGCTGACTGGAGGCCTCAGTTCCTGTCACATGAGCCTCTCTACAGGCTACTTAGGTGTCATGGTGTGACAGCTGGCTCTCCCAAGTGAGTAATCAAAGAGTGAGCAAGAGGAAGCCACAGAACCTTTTATGATGTAGTTTGCAAAGTTGTAAGCCATCACTTTTGCTTTTTCCCATCTGTCAGAAGGGAATCATGTAACCCAGCCCACACGGATAGGAACTGGGCTCCGCCTTTTGAAGAGAGTATCAAAGAATTTGTGGACGTATTTTAAATGACCATACTATGTTTAATTATTGCAAATACGGTCACTGTAGAAAAATTGGAAAATAGGGACAAGCAAAAAAAAATCACTTGTAATTTCATGACTCAATGGATAGCATTACTAGTTGGGTGTATATAATTCCAATATTCAAAATATATATTTTCTCAAAACATAAACACACTAGATGTACTGTGGTGTAATCTGCTCTTTCACTTAATGTATTTATGTATTATAAAAAATACCTTTCATGTCAAATATTCTTTCCTTTTTTTTTTTTTTTCATTGAGACGGAGTTTCGTTCTTGTCACCCAGGCTAGAGTGCAATGGTGCAATGTCCGCTCACTGCAACCTCTGCCTCACGGGTTGAAGCGATTCTCCTGCCTCAGCCTCCCAAGTAGCTGGGATTACAAGCATGCGCCACCACGTCGAGCTAATTTTTTGTGTTTTTAGTAGACACAGGGTTTCACCATGTTGGCTAGGCTAGTCTCAGACTCTTGACCTCAAGTGATCACCCACCTCGGCCTCCCAAAGCGCTGGGATTACAGGCATGAGCCACCGCACTTAGCCCCTCATAACATTTTTTAATGGCTGCATACATTTCATCATATGTATGTATCATAACTGATTTAATGAATTCTGTTATAGGACACTTAGTTTGTTTACAGGTTTTCCCTGTTTTATACATTTTGTTAAATGAACATCCCTACAGCACATTTATTTGTACAATCATGACTGTTTCTTAAATCCCTAGAAGCGAAATTTTTGCAACACAGTTTGCATAATTTTAAACTTCAAATGCCTGTTACCTAATTTGTCAAACAGTAAAAGCTTTGAAAACAGCTCCGTTAGGGCCAGGCGCCGGTGGTACGGCCTGTAATCCCAGCCTTTGGACGAGCCGAGGCGGCGGTCACGAGTGTCAGGAGATCGAGACTCATTCTGGCTAACACGGTGAAAACCCCGTTCTCTAAAAAATACAAAAACTAGTCCAGGGCAGGGTGGCCGAGCGCCTTGTATTACCCGCTACTCGGAGGTCTGGCAGGCAGAGAATGGCGTGAACCGCGGAGTGGACTTGCAGGTGAGCTGGATCCCGCCCACTGCACTGCCAGCCTGGGAGCAGGTGAGACTCCGTTCTAAAAATTAAA